CTGTGACTGTAAATCAGTCTCAACAGATGTTTGTTCCCTCATATTCTATTAAGCATTGGAGTTTAGCCTTGAAATATATTGGAATAATCAGCATTTGGGATATATCCATTTATAGGAACAGGATCTGCTGATGATAATATCCTTGTAATTGCACCACTATGAGCACTCTCAGCAAGGACATAATTTTTTCCACCAAGAGCCTTTAAAATATTTATAGCTGTTGGTTTACCACTCTGTCAGAGTGTTTCCTTGCCCTTTAGCCTATCTCAATACACTTTCCTACAGAATGGTAACTAACTGGCATTTGAGATCCATTGGTTAATAAAAGACAATTTATGGTTAGAAGCTGACTTGGGAATGTGTTGTAAACAAAGCAGGTTTTTTTTCTGTCTGTCTAACAAAATTTTTGGATCTATGTGACAGCAGTGACAGCCCAACAGTCCAGACATGAAGACAAATTAATCACCATTTTAATGCAAAAAGACAACCTTCTGCTTTTCTGCCCCAAGACCCTATTTGCAGAGGATCGTGACTGGAGGTGGCCCTTCTGCTGGCTCTCCTCACAGGAATAAATTTTATTCTGGCTGAACAACCTTGAAGGAAATATCTTTACTTGGAAGATTAATGAACAGATTCTGCTGAATTACTTGTTCATCCAAACCCCCAACTCCCTGGTGTACAAGCAGGATATATTACAAGGCAGTAGCAGACCTGCAGCAGCACTAGTTAGTGAAGGCTGTCCTCAATCCAGCAGCCAAAAAGGCACTCTTAAAAAAAAAAAAAAAAAAGCTGCTTTAAAAGCTTCAGTTACACTAGATATCCAACAGAGGACTTAGGTCTGGTGAGACTGATGGAATAAAGTATGAGAGTATTTGTAATTCAGCACAGCATACTTGTTTTTATGTGAAATCTTGGTCTAGGTCTCATCAAAATTGTACAATTATACATATGGATGTATTTGTTTCACAAACTGGGTTTTTTAGTAATGCAAATGATTTAATAAAAATTCCTGAAAAGATCAGTTTGACATCCTGATCTGTCTTTACTACTTTGTTTAAAATTAAGGTGCTCTGTAAGCAGTGGTATATGTGAAGCCTTTGTGGGTTTGGGGTGAGTTCACACCTTGTAGCTGGATTATTCTGCACATCTGAGGACTGAGCTCTGATCAAAGTGAAAAATGGGCCATTCCCTGTGTGGATTCTCTAGTGTACAGTAATATAGCTCAACACTTTTTCTCTCCCCCCCTGTGGAACTAATCTGATCTTTCTTTTCTATTCATCTGCTCATTTTCACTTATTGAATACCTCTTACATTTTCTGTTCTGTATCACATGTGATTAACAGATCTGAAATACACTATACAGGACCTAGACACAAGGTGATGACATCATCTCTAAGAAACCTGTCTAGAAAAGAGCAAAATCAAAGCAATGCAGCACATGCTAAGTAAATGAAACCCTAGCACCATGATAGATCTCAGCTAGTGATTTGGCAATAAGAATTACCTTTCCTTGTGTTGTGGTTTTTTTTAGTCATCAAGGAGGTTTTGGTCAAACTACTGTTCATTACCTTTTCAGTGATGTGGAAGCAAATTAAAATTCTTCCTAGTGAACTCTGCAGATGTCACAGAACCCGTGCAATGATAGTTGATGAGGAGGACAGGTTTAGCTCTGCAGAAGTGTGAATCACATGCTAGACTCTGCCCACATTATGGGTAAGAATATATGACACATTTACCAATGGTGTTTGTATTTTAGGAAACAGTGACTTGGAAGCAGATTTGAGCTGAAGATGAGCTCAAAATGTGATAAAGTGGTGAAGAAAACAGTGATAATTTTGTAGCTAAAAGGAGGGAACTACTGAACAGAAAAGATGGTGTTACCACATGATGGTTTATTAGTGGAAGTTTGTATTCATTTTGTCCATCTGCACCTTAGCAAGAACTAAATGATTGGAAAGGTCCAGGAAGGAATGGTGAAGAGGATAAACTACCTAGAAAATCTTCCTAATTCTGGGAGTTGAGAATTTCAATCTATTTAAGCTTTGGTAGCATAAGTATATCCCAAGGCATTATGGTAGTGCAATACTTTGCAGAACATTCTCATTGCTGCTCTGTCTGCCTACAAGTATCTTCTTTACCTTGTGAACAACCCAAGGTTGTTTTGTCCTCAAGGAACAGGGGATTAGCTGTTCTACATTTACTGTGGTTAAAAGCGAACTCAAGAATCACTGCTGTAGATTAGCTAATGTACTGTCTTGTTCCCTGACAGTGACTTACTCTACAGTGCTGCATCCTTGGAGAACTCAAAAGTAGGCTAAAAGATGACATGGTCAGGACACAGAAGTACAAACATGGGGAGCTGTCATATTTTTATGGTCCCTTTAATACAGACCAGCAGCTGGAAGCTGGAAACATTAAGACTGGAAGTTAAACCCCAGTTTTCTAGGGATGTTAGATCTATCAATTACATTCTTGAAGACAAAATCACAAATGTGTCTAAAATCTCACATAGAACAGAAGTTCAACCTTTGATACAAGGAATACCTTAAAAACATCTTGGATTTGATTTGTCCAAGCAGCAATAATGACATTTCTTTTTCAGTGTTACAAATATATTGACTTTTAAAAGTTCTAAGGCTGCTTCTGCCTCTTTGACATGTGATCCCTGAAGCCACTGCACTCCCAGGAGTGTAAATGGTAAGAATATCTGGACTAAAAATCAGTTCATGATTATAGGATCATTTAAAATCGGTGTAGCTTATAAATCATGATTTCTTTGTAAATTATCCCTTATAAATTATGATTTAATCATAGAGAAGACACAGCCAGCTACAAATGAGATTCAAGTTAGTAAAGCCAATGCTGGAAGCTGAGCCCTTACTCTTGCAAGTCAACATCACAGCATCCTATGAACTGCTGGCATTGAGCTAATGTGAGCTGGTAAATATCCTGTCACCACTGAGAACAACCTATAGAAAGGTTGCCCAAGATGTGTATGTAAAATGCCTATTTGTTTGATTATTTTTTAATAAAATATAAATGAATATACTTTTTTCTGGTCAATAACCTGTTTCCTTGCTGCTTAATAGGACTTCACACTCATTTCCTGCTCCTTGACAGCTTTTGCTATTGTTGATACCTTTAGATGGTAAAAAAGGAAGTCATCCCTCTGTTTACTTAGAGCTCAAATCCTGTTCTAAATCCCTGTTGCCTACAGAAATGACACTTATTTGAAACCATAGAGGAGCTGAGCTTCAGTGGCTGGATAGAGGTAAAATTTGCAGATGATTTTTAATTTCACTGAGGAGCCTTAAAGTACACCCTGTTCTATCTGCCTCATCCTTTCTTCTTTGATGGTTAAAATTACGTTTTCCCCACATGCAGGATCACTTTTGTTTGTGTGCACACACACATATGGATGCATGTCAAGGGACTTGCAGAAAGTTTGAGCCCAAACCTGGCAGGAATCAATTTTCTGTCACAATCTTCTTGCAGAAGCTGTAGACAGCAGCTTTCCCAGAGTGGGGCCTGATGTATGAGGTTAATCGCAAGGCTTCATTTTGTTGAGGGATCAGAAATCCAAAGCTGGCTCTATATAATACTGAAATCCCTTAATGCAACCAGCAGAGCCACACTGCCTCTGTCCTCTAAAGCTGATACTTTCTATTAATTCAAGATGCGTGTTCATTCATCTTTCTTTCCAGGCCAGTGGCTGAGGGAAGGGATTTTGGTTGGAAGAAAGGCAAGCTCACTGTTCAGAAAGGCAGGAGATAAACTGCTGGTCTCTTTGTTGTTAGTAGGACTTCTACCACTGGCTTCAGTTCTGGATTTTAACAAATACTTTTGTATATGCAGAGTTACAGAAATTTAATTTCTTCTGTGCACTTATAAGATTTGTACATGCAAAGGAAAATTAGAAGCACTTATGAACTCTGTTTTCACAAGGAGATTAAAGATTTTCCCAGAAAACTAGCATGAAGAACTGCAGACATATGTGTATTGTCCTCTAATTTCTACAACAGATTCAAAGCTCCAATCTAACTCCTAAGGATGAGACACTGTCATGGTCAAATTTAGATTGTGCCAAGACAAACTTTACTTTGAATTCATTAGAATTTATGATACTCAAAACCCGAATCTGTTTTGGAGTTTTTTTGTCTGATTTTTATCAAAAGTCAGCAGAACACATGACAATCCTACAGCTGTTTACATTTCTCCATATCACAGTGAGGGCAAGGAAAATGGAGTGGAATAAATTCTGAAGAAGAGGTCAATCTGGACATGATATTCCTGGACTAGCCCCTTTTCTCTGGATCACTTTAAACAGGTAGTGAAAGCTGACTAATCACATTAACATTTAAGGACATCATTTTATAATAATGGCTGGGAGATATATTTGTTCACACTATTCTGTAAAGAAGTGGCCTGAACAGCAAATATGCTTTGTGTGAATCTCTCATTTCTCAGACTCACAAGCATACCATAACCAGAGTGTGTAGGAATTATAATGCAGCTTGTGGAAATCTAATAACACAGGCTGTGTTTCCTGAAATGGTTAAACAAATCTGCTAAGACATCTGGAGATAGAATAAATATGGTCAGTTCCTTCTGCACCAGAATTATGAGGAAACCTTGTATGTTTTGAGACATTTGCTTTCTGTCAACCTGTTTGGCTAGTCAATGATATAACTGAAGCAATTATAATTATATAATTAATGTATTTATAGCCAACAGACACTGTCTGGCTAAAAAATGAAAATATTTGTGGAAAAAAACCTGTGAGTTACTTATCTGACACACTGCTGTTCCCTTATCTCTCAATGGTCTTGTGTCTGAAGAATGAGAAGTGATCAGATCAGGTGAAAGTCTTGGTGAAATGGACTCATGTTTACAAAATATTTTACTGAAAATGGTCTTACTGCTTCAAGTATGGTCACAAATTTCCTTTAGAAGTTGAGCATGAGTGTATGTAAAAAGATAAGGATGCTATCTACATTTACCTACTCTGATCCCAGTTGGCTGCAAAAAGCAGAAGAATCTTCCTGCCACAGTGGTCACGATTTTCCAGTACTCCTGGGAATCCATCTGTCAGAGCCCGTTTGATTCCTGGGTCGTCAGCCTTGAAGTTCTTGAACATATCCAGATTTAGTTGGCGGTACTGGAAGTACTGAGCCAGCAGTCTGAAGGCCTCAGTTTGGTGAAACTTCCTGGCTCGGAGAAATCTCAGGATGAAGGCATCATCTGTACGTAAAAACCCAATGTCAGGCCTCGTGATGATCATGTCCCTGACCTGCTGGATATCCTGATGCAAGATGTCTGGGTTTTCATTCAGTTCCAGCCGGGCTTTCTCTATAGTCTCTGGACTAAGTCCAGCTTGTAAATGGGTCATCTCTGCAAAAATCTCTCTTCCAAATCCTCAGCTTCGGGTGTTTTAGCAGAAGTGCTGATCCCATCCAATTGATGGGCTGCTGTGAGCATGAGCCATTCAGAAGCTTTTTGCTATCGAGCTGATATGTAAAAAATGAAAGTGAAGGGCTTCTCTTATTTTTGCAGAAAGAGTAACAGGCAGTTCACATGTAATATAATCCATCCAAAGGAAAGTGCTGTTTATTCCATCACTTACTAAAAGAAAAAGCAAATATATAAAAGAAAGATTAAATACATATACAAAGCGACAGGAACGCATTTCTGAACTTTATATAGCAATAAAATTGATTTGTATTCTTCATAAGTGAGAGGATGTGAGTCAAATATTTCAGAATGGGTGCATTTGAGATCAGGCAGTCACTGACATCTTCAATGTATATATTCAAGCTTTCAGCAAAGCAATCTGATTAATTGACAATTAATAGTAAGCTGTATCAAGTTACTATTAGACTACACTTGTGAAGCTGTATTACAGAAGTGTGGGAGTTTCAACATCCCATAAATGCAAGCCCAGGATAAAGTAAAAATGATAGTAATTTTTCTCCACCTCAACAGGAGCTACATTTCAGCTTCCTATGTAGGTGTAGTATGCAGATTTACACTGATCATATTAAGTGTAACACCAGTTTGATTTGGTTTTATCACTCTCAGCTTATAACCTTACTTAAATTACACCTTGAGCCGATCATAAAATGTTGGTTTTGTTTTTGTTTAAATAAAAACGGCACTCTTAAAAACAAACAAAAAAAACCCACAACAAACAAACAAAAAAACCATTCCACCTACATCAGGGTTATCTTCTACTTGGTAAAATGTCACTGAAAATATTTCCCATTCAGACTTAATAATTCTTCATGGGACACATCCCATGAATAAAGTGTTTGATGAATCTAATCTGACAAAGCTGATGTTTTACTTGAAAAGGGATGTATTCTATTCCAAATTCTTTTCTTCAGTATGTTGTAGGTTTCCTGAGTACCTAGTTCTGCATTTTGCTTTCATTCGTGTACTTTACCTAGGATTTGTTTTAACAAGTGTTAGAAGAAAAGCTGCTCAAGCTGTTATGTATGAGCAAAATGGTACAGTGAATCTCTTATATTTCAGTGACATAATTAGCAAGAGGCTGTCATCGAGGGCTGTGTAGTTACACTTGTGTGAAATAAGATCAAAGTCTGTTCTGATGTGAAATGTGTGAAGAAAGATCAAGATCCATCCAATTTTGCAGCCATCACAAAAACAGACAAGCAAACAAAACTCCCCACCGCTTAACTCCTCTCTCTATCTTTTCCTAACTTCTGAAAAAGAAAAATTGGTTTTAAAAATTAAAAGGGAATCCCTCAGTGAAAGACATTTTATTGTATTTGAAGAAAGCTGTTTGGAAAGTTATGAATTATTTATAGTAAAACAACTATTTCACTCGGCTACTCCCCTGGGTTCAGCATTCTCACATCAAACAAAGGGGAGCGCAGCAGCCAGAGCATTCCTTCATCCAGGGGCTGCTCAAAGTTACATTGCAAGACCTTGAAGTCAGTCAGCACAAGGGATGCCTGAGTCCCGTGTTTCATGAGCTTGCACATCATTGACTAAAACCACATTTTAGATGCCACAGCTGCAGACCAAGGATGAAATCCCAAAATTTGAATCCAGAGTAATTCTGCATATTTGCTTAGAGGATACATGTGGTGGGCCATAAACTTTCTAGAAGCAATGGGCAATAACTAGACTTGACTGTGGGTGATACAAAGAAGTTTGAGCAGCCTCTTTCTGTATTCATTGTGGAGCTGGAATTGAGAAGAGCTGCCTGCAGGATAGAGTATTTGGTGATTGCTCAGCCTGGGAAAACTTGGGAAAAGGCAAAGCCGGGAAGAAAGAAGGCTGGTTGCCTTTTACAAAACACTACAGAGTGCAAATGACTCCAGGAAAACAAGATCTGAAGTTTTGAGGGGTAATCTATGGATGGTTACTCAATTCTTAAAGAAATGAGAGTTGTATTAAGGGTGGGTTGCACATATAAAAGTAAAGTAACAGTTATTCGTTTTTGCTCTTGCCTTTATTAGACCAAATTAGGATAACTCTGATGGTATCAACTGAATTCCACTGATGTAAAACTGATGGGGAATCCAGGCCAATATTTTGTGCTTAAGAGCTAGTTGGGGGAGCTAGATGTGTTTAAGTGTGACACTGTCATTGAGGGAGTGTAGTGTGGGGGTTGGTTCCCTCCAAAGTTTTAACAGCAAGTAGTACAGTAAGGAGAGAGTTTGTGCTCAGGGGAGTTCAGCAGATGGATAGAAGCAGGGAGCTTATCTGGAGTCTGCATCAGCTTGGGCTCAGGGCCCAGTATGAATTGGAACACCTTTGGAGCTCCTGTAATTTAGAATTACAAAGTCATGGAATCATAGAAAGGTTTGGGATGGAAGGGGCCTTTGAAGATCACCTAGTCTATATCCCTCTGCCATGGGCAGGGACATCTTCAACTCGATCAGGTTGCTCAGAGCCCCATCCAAGCTGATGTTGAATATTTCCAATGATGGAGCATTCACAGCTCCTCATGAGTAACCTGTTCCAGTGTCTCACCACCCCATCATAAAAAATTACTTCCTTGTATCTAGTCTAAACCTATTCCCTTTCAGTTTAAAATTAGTAATCCTTGTCCTGTTACTACAGACACTAGTAAATAGTCTGTGTCCACTTCTCTTATGGCCCCCGTGAAATACTGAATGACCACAATAAAGTTTTCCTGGAGCCTTCTCCTCTTCAGGCTGAACAACCCCAATTCTCTCAGTTTTTCCTCACAGGAGAGGTGTCCAGCCCTCTGACCATTTTTGTGGCTCTTCTGTGGACCTGTGGCAGTTAAATGTGCCTCCTGCCCCTCTCCACCACCCTTCCCCCCTATGGTTTCATCCATTTTCTAAGAGTTTACGGGAGTAAAGCTGTCCCTTCCCCTGCTGCTTTTCTGAGTTCCACCTCCAAGGTGCTTCTTTAGAAATAAGGCACATTCTTGAAATGTCAAACACAATCTGTTCCAGAAGAAAATGGCATTAGACCAAGGAGATAAAGTCTGGCCCTTCAGATTCTCTTACAGGATCCCCAAGAATTTGATGACAAATTTATGCTACTTATTTTCATGAAAGTTTCCTACTGGTTTTACCTTATTTAAATGGATTAGCACCCTTCACGTTCAGGATGAACCTAAGGTGCAGGAGATACTGTGCTCTCCTGTCAGACATTGTTGCCAAAAAGCAACTTAAGCATACTCAGTCTGAAAAAATACACTTTTTAAAATGCATTTCAGAGTTTTCTGGTAGTGAGTTGAGCTATAACCATAGGTTACAGTTTACAGGAGAACCTCTATAGATTATTTTGATTATCAGATGGAACAGACTGCACTAAAATACTTTTTATGGAGGTAATGGTATATATTACAAAATAATCCAAAATGTGTATAAGCAATGCTGTTGCTTTCTGAATCATAACACAAATCATGGGGGTTAGTAATCCACTCTAGCACCACTGACTTCAAGGTGTCTGATTTACATCAGTGGATGATCCGGTTCTCCTACTGCTTGCCTTGACAATAAATTGAATGTTTCATAGCTACCTAGTTTAATTGTCGTTGTGCTTTATCAAATGGTACTGATTTATTCCAGTTCCCAAAGGTATAACTGAAGCAACTTCTCCATTTTCACCCCCTCCCACACATGGCAATTTCTCCTTCTCTTCTGCTGTTGTGTACAGCTCTGATCTACCTGCCAGTTTTTCAGACATTTCCATCTTTGTTCTGTTTTCTTTGTGTTTTTTGTTGGTTTGGTTTTTGTTTGTTTATTTGTTTTTCCCCCAAATGAAAATGCTGGCCTTTTTTACCTTATCTTGAATATTGTTGCGGCATGTTGGCACACTGGATTCTTTGTTACAGTCTCAACAGCTGTTTTTCTGTGTTATGACTCTTTGTTCCCAAAGGACTATTTGCTTTCCTAATGTCTTTTCACAGCCACTTACAATAAATCATCTCTCCAAAGGAACAAAACCCAGCTTTAAACAAGGAAAAATAATTAACAGAAGTTTGAGGCACAACATATTAATCCAGAAAAAAAAGAAAGAAAAATTTCCACCAAAACTTCAGTGTCACATAACATTCTGGCTTATTCATTTTCAATCCCAACAACAGGGACAGAGAGTGGCTTTAGGATGAGTAAAATACTGGAAGTGGGGTACAGTCTTCAAACAAACACCTTATATTTTTGCCTGACTCTCAAAAATAAAATTTTGTTAATAAAATGCATAGTAGTACTTATTAAAAAAAAAATCTGAAGGATGTATATCTAGCACTTTCCATCCAAAGACCTTAATATGCTTTACTGCTCTCTCTTCAATGCCAGCTTTTGGATCAGCATTCAACCTCTATTTGCTCTGCATCCCCTGGAAAATCTGCCAAAACCTGCTTTCAGTGATGATGACACTTGTCTGGATCATTTTGTTCCTACCCTCTTGGCTGTCCATGCAACACCACTTGCCTCTTGAAGCACTGTTCCCATGCCCATTTGGCCCTTCCCCATCCATTTCAATTCCAGAAAGACTTTAGTTGCCTCTGTCTACCGAGAGTTTTCCATTCAGTCCAAAGTTATACGCCACATGAATTTTCATTACCAAAGCTTTTCAAATGGGGAAGGCACTAGGCTGTGATCCTCAGCTGGTATCCATAAGCATCACTGTTATGGTTTATCTCCTTATGTAATTCCTAACTCCTAAAGTTCATACAGATATTAGCTGCTAAAATCATGCCAGAAAAGAAGGGAGTGGGCAGGGACAGAGGGGAAAATGGTAATCTAGAATGATTTCATCTCAGAGTGTGGGTGTCACCTCATTAAACTGCTTTTTAAAAAATATTTTGATGTCAACTGTGGAAGACATTTTGGGGTTATGTTCTGCTTAGCAGGGATTGCTCCATAAGGGCAGGGGAGGATGAATCCATGGCTGTACTTATAGGAAAGGTTCCTATGGCACTTTATGGCCCTGCGGTACTTTCATA